CTGTGGTTACAGCTGGGGTGGCTGGGAGGAGAGGGCAGAAGACTGAGCTGCGGAGCCTGGAGCCTGCGGAAGGGTGGGAGTTTGGGAATAAAGCTTAGCAGGCAGCGGCACAATCACTTCCCAGGGATCTTCCCAGTTGAATTCAGGCCGGTTACAAAAGGAAGGGGTGGGCCGGGGTAGTGGGCTGGGCATCTCTGCCCCTCTGCAGGAAAAGGAGAGCAGCAGGCGGGAAGGGCAGGGAGAACAAAAGGTGTACTGTACAGGGTGACTTTGCATCCTTATTTACTGTCCCTGGGACGTCAGGCAAGTTCCTCAGACTTTGTGCTGATGGCTGAGAATGCTCAGTTATTAACTAGGAAAAGTCCACCTGTTTGCTGAATTTGCCTTTTATAGGGTTCAAGGAAACAGAATGTGTTGAGTAAATAGTAACCATTGTTATTATGAATGGAAGCACGGGTCAGTGGAAACTGTTTCTTAGGCGTTGATTAGGAACATCCACTAACGTGCCCTCTAAACTGTTCTCTCGCCCACATATTTTCACGGTTTATTGACTCAGTGAGTGGCTGTTGAATAGCTTCACCTGCCACCACGCTTTGTGCCAGGCACAAGGCTCCAGGGCAACTGGGTCTTGTCCTGGAGAGGTGGCCTCTTCTTCCCAAGTGAGCGTATTCCATCCAGGCAGTACCCGAGGCAGGCCTCCTCCAAGTGGGCCTTCTTCACAGCCTAGCTTCTCACATGTCCAATACTGATTTCTAAGGCAGTGACAGCTGGTTCAGCCTGTTCCAGAGACAAAGGAGGTGCTTGGCAAGCCAGGGAGCCAGGGAGCCGGGAATGACCTGGGCCAGCCCTGAGACAAGGCATTCTTGGGCTTATACTTACAGAATGTAAACACCCTCAGGACCAGAGCTCCTGCCAAGACAGGAGAAATGAAAGTTACATAAGCACCTCTAGGGCATTGACACACTGCAATACCACACTGCTGCCACAAGGGGAGGTATGAGGAAGATGGCCTCTAGTACTCAGGGGTAGAGAGTGTGTTCATCCGTAAGCCAATGTGCACTGGACCAGAAGACCAATAAAGCAGAAGCCTTACTCACATGGGTAATCCCAACACTTGCAAAGCTGAGGAAAGAAAATCACAAATTCAAGGTCAACCTGGGCTACATAGTGACTTCCCATACATCCAGGGCTATGTATTAGTGTTACTTATTTGATGCTGTGATAAAACACACGGCCAAGACATGAAGAAGAAAGAGTTTATCTGAGCACATGGTTCTAGAGAGAGAAAAGTCCCTCGTGGGGAGGAAGCATGCAGTGAGAAGCAAGTGTGGCACTGGAGCAGCTGAGAGCTCACATCTGGAGCCACAGGCACGAAATAGAGCAAACTAGAAACGGCTTGAGTACTTGAACTCTCAAAAACTGCCTACAAGTGGGATGCATCCTTCAAGGCCTCCTAAATCTCCTGAAACAGCACCACCCATGGGGGATTAGTGTTCAAATGCTTAAGACTGTGAGGGACAGTTCTCATTCAAACCACCATAGCTACATAGCAAGACCCTACTTCAAATCTTTCTAACCAACACCCCCACAAATAAGAAAACTTTAAGGCCACTCCGCCAAGCCCTAGATGACTGCCCAAGTAATGAGTCACCAAAGATAATTTCATAGACTCCCTTGCCACTACCGAAGTGATTCTAGAGTTCAAGAAGCCAATCACAGGTCATCTGGACAAAGCCAGGCCCAAACAGAGTTTCCTTGGAACCAGTCACTGAGACATCTAAGTCCTTTCTTCCTATGTAGATCATCTCCCCCCAGTTTCCTGGCTCTCCCATTTCACTGAGAACCCTGTTCACAATACTGGCAGCAAAGCACCTGTCTCAAACACACTGTCTCCCCAGTGGAAGTCCTCACCAAGGACTACTGCCCACCTCAGCCAGGTACAAAGGGAACTTCTCACCAAGCCAGAATATCCATAGAACTATGAAAGCAGGACCTAACAGGTAAATCAAGCTAAGTAAACTCAGAAGCTAGGTAAGGAATGGAGGCCTCAGGGGGAGTCCATGAAGTGAAGGAGTTTCCCAGGGATACAGTAAGAAGTTGGAAAGAAAAATCAGAGATCGTGAAGTTTGTTGACCGTTTATTATGTGGTAAGAGCTTTAAGTGTGTTCTCTCGTGTAATTCGCACCAGAATCCTATGTAAGAAACCAAGGCTTGAAGGTTTGGCCTAGAAGAATCTCAGAATGCTGCTGTAGTCGTCCTTCAGCAATTCACACTGGAATCTCAAGTTGAAGTTTGGATACCGAGTCCCACTCTCCAGCCTCATGTCTAATCCTACTCCAGTTTATACCATCAACCAGAACTTTCCGACTGCCCATGAGGTACTGGGCTGTGTGTACTTCTGTACAGCATAGAAAGGTGGGTTAGCTGTAAGTGCAGCCCTCGGGGAACCTCCATCCATCTGTATAGCCATAATACTGTATAGCCGTGACGCTGTATAGCCATGATGCTGCAGAAACAACCTCTGAATCCCAATGGCTTCACTCAATAAAGTTTATGTCCTGGTCTTGCCATATATCCCTTTTGGGTCTTTACTCGGGGGTCTTGGCTGATGGCAAGTTGCCAGATCTTTTAACCACTGCCAATGATCATCTGAGGAGGAAAACATGATCAAGCGTTCACCATCTCTTAACCCCTCTTCTCCCAGTAGCTTCTCCCCGAGAAGAGCTCAGGACAGCCCTGCTCCCGCTCATGTCCAAAACAAACCAAACACACAGCACACCACGGGATAAGAGAAGTCCAAATCCACCGCAAGCCAAGCTGAGCAGCAAAACCAAAAACATATGGTGACTGGCCTTCAAAATGACTGTAGTCTGGCAATACAAATGACCCACCCAGAAGCCTAATAGCCCACATGCCACAACAGTGCAAAGCTAAAAGATGAAGTTCCCTTGGAATAGGCGCATTAAGACTCATAAAGAACAACAGAGAATGAATTATGTCTATGCTGGAGAACCCAGTGGAGTATCGTGAGCAAGTCAGATCAATGCGGAGTCTGGGAGAGAGGGGAGAACCTGAATGGGCCTACAATAGCAGCTCCATTGACCTTGACCTTTGGAGAATGATAGCATCCCACCACCACTCAGCCTCATGGATGACCTAATTCCTGCAGGTCCGCGAGACAGACTGAGTGAATAACTGGAGCCTTAGGCTTATACACTGTGGGCCTGAGAGAAAGAAGACTGAGGATTGCTATAGCTGAGCAGAGTGCTAGAGTTGGGTGGAAATGGCTGCTGACCAGGCCAGAAGCTAAAATGATGCAGAAGAACCTTAAACAAGAAAATGGAAATGCAAGTTAGGGATGGTGGTACACGTGTTATCCCAATACCCAGAAGAAGGCCCATTGGTGTCATTTTAGGGCCAGCCTGGAATGTATAACAAGCACCGGACCTGCCAAAGCTATATTTCAAGGAAATGACTTTATAGAAAGAAAGAAAGAAAGAAAGAAAGAAAGAAAGGAAGGAAGGAAGGAAGGAAGGAAGGAAGGAAGGAAGGAAGGAAGAAAGAAAGAGGGTCATATGAGACATAAATCTGATAAAACTGCCCTTAAGTTTTGCCTCCAGTCTCTGACAAGAAAATAAATGTGTAATGACCTTGCCATCATGCCTACTAAGAGGGACTGATCTCAAGAGATACGTTAGTAAACAGAAGCTTAAATTTCAACAAAGCAAGATAATGAAGAAGGGTTGAGGGAGCCAGAATGCTAACCCGCGGTGAGGAATCCAGAGAGGAGGCTGCATCCAGCAGCCAGTGGATACTTAGAGGAAACAGGGCTACAGCAGGCAAGAGGAGACGGAGCTCTTGGGAAAATGGACACTTTTTATCAGGGTTTTAAGTTTGGTTTCATGGAGTTTGGTAGGAGCCCTCAACTTTCCTCCTTTGTGAACATTTCAGCAAATTCAACATTCTGTTCCCAAGATGCTTTGGGAGGTGACCAGAGGTCACAAGTGAGCAAGTGGATTGCAGTCAAATGTTGACTCTGGCTTCAAAGTGGATACAGGGAGTTAGCAGGGACTCCCTAAAGAACCCAGTCATGTTCTGCTAAATAGATGTGAGCACTCTAGTTTATGTAGGAAAAAGTGGCTCATTCAAGCAGAACAAGTGTCAGTCAAGACAACCCTCATAAGGGGATGAAAGACCAGAAAACAACCCAGTCACATGAGGGCAACACATCCCTATCCAGGCTCTAAGAGCTACACAGGCTAAGGCACTAGTTTGATTGACATCACCAAGCAAATATTGATTCACAGAAATACAAGAGATAAAGTCAGAAGGAACAAGTTCGGTAACCTAACCCAGCAATCAGGATTTATGGGAACAAATATATCCCTTTCATGGTCAAAGTTATGCATATAGCATTGACCAAGCGCCTTAGTTAGGTTTCTGCTATTGTGATAAACACCATGACCAAAAACAACTTGTGGGGGAAATGGTTTGTTTCATCTTACATCTTGTAGTCTGCAATAAGGGGAAGGCAAGACAGGAGCTCAAGGCAAAATCCTGGAGGTAGGATGTGAAGCAGAGGCCACGAAAGAATGCTGCTTACTGGGGTATGTGTTCCCCATGTCCTGCTCAGCCTACTTTCTTATACACCCCAGGACCACCATCCTAGGAATGTCCCTACTCACAATGGGCTGGGCCCTCCCACATTAATCACCAACTGAGAAAATGCTCTACAGACTTGCCTTCAGGCAAATCTTAGGAGGCATTTTCTCAATTGAGGGTCCTTCTTCCCAAATGATGCTACTTCTGTCACATGACATAAAACTATCCACGACACAAACCTTCAAATACTCCCAAGTTGCATATTTACAAAGATCTTCTGCTTTGACCTGTCTCAAAAGATGTGAAGTCACTGGTTTTTTATCAGCCCATCAGTAAACAAAAGTAAAATAAAAAGGTGGTGGATGTTGAGACAAATCACCCCTAAGGATGCTATGGCTGACGTTTATTTACCTCGCCCACATGACATGCCAATATTTACTTTGCTGCTAAGCACCAATGCCTCTATGTGCCAAGATCCTTCGGGTCCTGCATCCTGGCAGATGGATTGTCAGCGACAGTACTGAATAGCAGCCGAAAGCCGGCGACTATTAACACACACGTCTTGACTTACAGGCAACTGTCAGGTAGGAAGATTCATCCATGTTGATCAGAGTCAAAATATCCTCGTGTCGAGAGTGTGTGTGCCTGGGAAGCCTCTGAGTCAGCGAGCATGTCAACAGTCTCAAAAACAACCATGGTACCTTTCTCCACAAACGCTTCCAATGCAGTCTGTAAATTTTACGTAGGTGGGAAATCACCATGGTGGGAATGAGACATGGTTACTTAACAACTCCCAATGAGAACATGAGACTAAGTGCACTTTGGTGGGAAAGCAATGAGATCCAAGAGTGAATGTGTTATTCAGAAGGGGAGTGAAGTCAGAATGTTATTCAAAGGTGCGGATTTTATTTATTTTAATAATTCATTCAGACTCTACCCAGTTTTCTCCCGATTCTACATTCAGTTCTACAGTTGGCACTAAACTTTGGTCCCCTGGAGCCATTCTGTCATCCTGACCCGAAAATGGTTCTTCTCTATACACCCTGAACAATGGCAGTGGGCCGCAGACTCGTGCCAATCATGGGGGCTATAATTCATGCATTTCTGGAACAGTTCTTACAGAAGCTAAAACCTACTCAAGAGGTGGGTGAGCAGCTGTGAGAAAGAAGGAACCTCAGATCACATGTTCAGCCAGTAAATATTTACTGAGCAACTACTATGCTCATGAAGACGTGACAGGACGCGAGGAGCACAGTGAAGAACAAAGTGGGCGTGGCCATTGACATCCTGGAACCAGCTGCCTGGTTTGGGAAGGATCATCATGCGGACCATTTCAAACTCAGTACTGTGATACATAGCAAAGGATGATTCTGAGAAAGTAAGCCAGACACTTGACCTAGGCTGTGAGGAAAGGTCGTGGAGAGTCAGTCTAAGAGTGAAGCTCAGATGGAGGATGAGCCGGAGGTAGATAGGGAGAAACCTTCCTTGTTCCCTCGTCTGTAAAGTGACTCCATAACAGTTGCTCAGAAGCATCCCTAGGGGAGGCATGGGAAAGCAGGTTATAAGGACAGGATATGTCCCTGAGGAAAGCTAGATAAGAAGCTAGGGAGAGGGACTAGGAAGGTCATTCAAGGTTGAGAGGCAAACAAAGCCTCCTGGAAAGTCAAGCAGAAGGTAGACTAAGTCACGTGGGAGCAAACTGAGAGCACTGGTTTTCCTGATTCTATTTGTAACAGGTAAAGTCCCAAGCGTTTTCTTCCCTGTCCTGGCTTAGATGCAGAATGCTCCAGTCGCCTGGAGACTGTGTTCCATCAGAGACCTCTGCAGGTGCAGGGAGCTCAACTGCGGGTAACCGTGACGTGCAGGAAGATCGCAAAAGGATGCAAGGATCAGCAGAAGAACTATTTGCTACAAAGCATGTGAATTCATGTGGACCGAAACTGTGCATGTAAGGAGCTGGGCGGGGCCTGACAGTGTACTTAAGGGATCAATCAATGTTAGTGGTTGTCGTGTGTGTTCATCACTAGGCAACAGCAGGCCTCGGACAGGCTTCGCTTTCCCTAGTTCGCTCTGCCCACTCTATCTTCAGGAAACCCTTCCCACCACTCCCTGCCAAGTCTCCCGAGACAAACACGCATATAAATAGAGCGGTATATATTTATATTTCTCAAAACCGTCACGTTTTGCTGAGCTCATAAAGCACTGCGCAAATCGTGCTGTCACCCTCTGGAATGCGTTCTGTCACTCACCGCAGCTTCCTCTCCCGTCTTCCCCGGCTCCCAGAGCTCAGAAATGAAAGCACATGCTCTTTCTCTTAAATCACATCTGTACTCACCTGATAGAATTCTCAGGCCCCCCTTCCTTGAGCCACATGGTAAAATTCTTTGGCCAGAGGGACCTCCTTCAACTGTTTATCTTTCTGAGCAATCCAGCAACTATTTGTCATTTGAGAAAAAAATCAGTGTTTTAAATCAAAATTTTTTTAAAAAAAAGAAAAGCTACCTATGAAAGGATTGTACTAGTTAGTTTTCATTGTCAGCTTGACACAATCTGGAGTCACCGGAACTGAGCAATTGTCCATAAGAGGTTGTCTGCACTGGTGATGGATGTGAGATAATCAAGCCCACTGTGGGTGGCACCATTCCTAGGCAAGACGCCCTGTGCAGTACAAAAAAAAAAAAAAAGCCAGCTTTGCCTTATCCAGTGACTGAGACAGCAAACAACATTCCTCCACCGATTTTATTTCAAGTCGACCCCAAGCCCCTGACCTTCCTCAACTCTGGACTGTGAACTCCGAGTGTAAGCGGAAATAAATCCTTCCGTCCCCTAGGTTACTTTTGGTGGAAGTGTTTTAACACCGCAACGGAAAAGAGAACTAGAACGAGAATCTCAAATATGCTCTCCTAAGGGAGAGGAAGGAAAAAAAAGACACAAAACCCTCCACATGGGATGAGTCCACACAATAGAACTTCAGGTCCATCTAGTAGAACATCTAGATCAGGGGAAACTGATCTGCAGAGGCAGGAAGCAGATCAGTGGGCGTCTGCAGTCATGACTAAGGCAACTGCACAGAAGGCATGCGAGAACACTAGAGAGTTGTCAACATTCAATCCTCTACTGTTGAGGTGACTACACTATGTTGAAATTCATAGGCCTGTATACTTCAAATGAGTATATTTCATCATAAACAAATTGCAACTTAATGGAGCAATGTTGGGGGACAGGGTTTCACAATCTGTTACCCTGGCTAGGCTCAAATTTGCAGTAACCTGCCTTAGTTCAGCCGCCCTCCCGCCCCGCATTCAGAATCCCAGGTGTACACTGCCACACCTGGCAATAAAGTCATGTTTGGAAATGGGAAAGGATGCACTTTGTTACTTCATTAGAAATCAAAAATAAACCCAGAGGGTTGTAGAAAGAGCTCCATCAGTAAAGTAAATGCCTCGTAGGCCTGAAGATCTAAGTCCAGTCCCCAGCATCCACATAAGAAGTCCAATGTGGTCGACCATGCTAGGAATCCCAACACGGGGGAGGCAAAGATAGTAAGAGCTCTAGGTCTCACTGGCCAGCCAGTCTAGTAATGAACTCAGTGGTGAGCTCCCGGCCCCAGGGAGAGATCCTGTCTCAGTAAGCAAGGTGGATGGCTGCAGAGGAAGTACACCCAAGGTGAGGCTGACCTTTGGTCTCCATACCCGCAAGCGAGCAAACACACACACACACACAAACACACACACACACACACATAAAGTATATACAGGAGTAATCCTAAGAAACCCCAACTAAATAAATATACAGAAGTCTTCACATCTATTGCTGCCCTCTAGTTTTTATTCTGGCAAGAAGTTAGTCTTCAGTAATGAGAGGGGGAGGGCAAGGAGAGTCCAGAGAAAGACAAAATAAAGCACAAGTCTAAGTGGCACCGAGAGGTGTTTTGTCACCTATATATAACTAAGAACTCTTGTCTATTTGACATGCCCAAATGCATTTCTAATGATATAATAAAGGACCTAACTTGTTGAGGTCCAGCAAGCACCTCACTTTCCTATTTCCACTTCTGCTTGCCTCTCACCCAGACGTGACTCTTTCCTTCAAGCAGGCTATAGACTGTGGCGCTGTTGCCTCCGTGATGTGTTTGCTTCAGAGTTTATTACCCTGCATTCACTTGCAGTGGCATTAGAAGTGGAGATGCTTAAGCCATTGCAAAATGGCTTGTTGGAGAGAGGGATTTTTCTGAAAATTAACGAGAATATCCTACTTGCATGCAATTGAGAAAAGGTTTTAGAAAAATCATGTTTTTATAATGAGCATACGGTTGGGTTGTCATCACGACCTGGCGAGTATCTCCCAGTACACTGCACCCATTCTCAAGCGCTGACATTTCTGAGGTTGCATTTACCCTTCCTCCCGTCCCCAACTCTGTACTTTGTCCTGCATGACACGTAACACGTGGAAGGCAAATGCCTGTTTACCAATCTCAGCCCTGGACCAGACTGAGAGCCCTTTGAGAGCAAGGGCTATGGAGATCACAGTGGTATCTAGCTTCTAGAAAAATGGCAGGCCCCTAGTAGGTGCTTAAAAAGGAGCTGTGGGGTGGTTGCTGTTCTGGACACATAGCAGAGTTTATTTAAGGTTTTGGAAATCAACTGCACAAACAGGAAAAGCCTGGTGCTTCCAAAGGGAACTCCACCCAAGCAGTGTTCCAGCAGGAAATACCAAAACGTCGGTATCTAGCACAGAAAGCACAGGGCATGTGTTTCCAGGCAAATTCTCTTGAGCTGATCTCCAAGAGGCTGTGAAATGATCTAGAAAACCCAAAGGTTTCTAAACAGCCCATCAGCATTCTTCTCGACGGCAGGTAATAATGTGTGGATGCAGAGAAAGGAGTCGCGAGGCCCTCCTAAGACCCTGGGCCAAGTAGAGCACCACTGAGCTTGTATCTAATAAATACCACGTGCTAAATGAGCACCACTGAATTACTTCTCAGTGAGGGCTAGACCTGGTCCCCTGGACTGTCAGTGTCTCTGCAATGGCAATGCTAATGTCTCCTTAGAGGATGGTTGCTAAGTTCTATGTGAAAATTCTCAGTCTTTCTCTCTCTTACTTGTTTTTTGTTTTATTTTCTGCATGAGGGATTGAATCTGAGGCCTCGCTTGCATGTGCTAGGTACATGCTCTACCAGAAGACTGTCCTCAACCCTTGTGTTCATTTTTTCCTTTATTTTGAGACAGAATTATCACTAAGTTGCTCTCACCGGCCTTGACTTGCAATCTTCCTGCCTTTGCCTCCTCCACAGCTGGGATTACCCGTGTACATTCATGAAGGCAATGGCATCTTAGTTGCCTGTATTATTAAGAACAATGTAATTTCAAAATACTTTAAGAACCTTAAAGCCAACAGCATAAGAGAGGGAAGAAAAGGCAATTCTGAAGAATTCGCTGCTCATTGATGGTTCAAACAGTGGCTTCCAAGAAAGACATCAATAACCCCATCCCTTCTGTCTTCCATGCCCTCCTGGGTATTCACCTTTGACCCACTTGCCTAGTGGTTAGAGAAGAGAGAGCAAAGAGAGCTTAAGTCAACTTGGTGTTGTCACACTAGCAATCCTCAAGTTGGGAAATACCTGGCTAAAACGAGCATGTAGGAAACTCTGCAACCAGCTTCCCATGATCCTCCTTGTTGATGTTCTTGTTGTTAATATACCTAGACCTGACACGGGTTAGTTGATTAATGATGCCTTTCCCTCATTAGAACATCTAATTAAGAAGTGATCTGTGGAGTACGGTGTAGTTCAGTGATAGAATCCCTGCCTGGCTTATGTAAGGCCCTTGGTTAGATTCCCAATACCACCATCACAATAATGATAATAGTAATAATAACAACAATAACAATAATAAATGAAAGTCTATCTGAAAAAAACAAAGAAGCAATCCGGTGAGTTTACTATTCCTGCAAGCTATATTAAACAAATCACCTCCCTTGAGTTTAAATAATGAATCCTGACAATATACAAACATGTTAGGACACCATCTCTCGCCTCCTAGTAACACTTCAGTATTACTGAAGTATCCACCATCACAATAATAGCACCAATAACTCATTCCTTAGATGTTTTTTAACCAAAAGACAAGAACTCTGGAATCTACTTTGAATCCTTCTGGCTTTTACTAAGGACATAACTAGTCAAATGGCTTCTCCTTTCCTTTCTAGATTACACTCTCAATTCCTACACTGGGATTAAAACTTATCAGTGAGCATTTTTTGTGGGAGAGAGGGTCTGTCTATGTAGCCCTGACTGTCTTAGAACCCACTGTGGAGACAAGCCCAGCCTCGAACTCATAGAGATCCCCTTGTTTCTGCCCCTGCCCAGTGCTGAGATCAAAGGCTACCATTCCCTACATCAGTGAGTACTTTTAATTAATAGTAAAAATAGTAAGAGCTGTTACCCAGAGGCTCATATATACACCAGAGACCTTAGTCATTTTGCTGTCTCCTTCAAGGATGCCCAACTATATCTGGGACAAAGCACAGCTTTGTCATTCATTCATTTAGAATGTTCTTTCCAGCCTAAGGGCCATCGCAAATGTGATTTTCCTCATGCCTATACCCTCCAAGTGTACAGTAAAGGGGATATTAAACAAGGCAAACTTGGTAAACAGCTATGTACCATCAGAACAAGCCATAAAACTGACTTGAGAGGAAAAGAAAAATTCCTGAGTGGGAACTAGATATAAAGACAACACAGAGCAAAGGTAAATATTGATTGAGCACAACCAGAAAGCCTGAGGTCCCATCTTCTTAGCTCGTAGTTGTAGCAAATACAACAGCGTCTCTAAACATGCCCCTCCCTAGACACAGTTCCAGTACATTGCAATGGGTTCTGCAAATACTGCAAAATGGGTGTCGATACAGACAATAAATATTTATCCTGTCTTCACTGGAATAGGCAGGGTAAGAGACCTAATCCTTGCAGGTCCCTCCTCTTCCTGGAGCAACTTGGTAAATGTTTGATGACGTGCACAGATTGTTCTGATAAACTAGAACATTCATCAGAAGTCTATCGTGGTTGACCTGTCCCATTCTTTGGAGCAGCTTCTTTAGAATTTGCAGCTAAGATCCTTGCCAGAGAGGTCAAATACCTGGGAGAGGGTTTGATTGGCCAACTATTGTGCTTCTCACAGGACCCAGCCAATTATCGCACACAGTGTATGTGCTCAACTTTGAGCCCCAGCCACTGACCTCTGGGGAGAGGACAAGGGTATAAGAATCAGGTTCCATACACTTTGCTCTTCAGCAATAAACTGGGCATGGGACGACTGACCTGGTGGGCCTCCTGAGTGACAGCACTCTGCAGAAGGCACCGAAGTTTTATTCCCCTTCTGACATCCCTCTTTTTTTGTAGCTTTCTTTATTTGTATAGATATATGCCCAATATAAAGCCAATGCATGTGTTTGCCTTAGTTCCTTGAGCCATCCTAGCAAATTAATCAAGCCCAAAGGAGGACAGTAAGAACTCTAACATAAAATAAGTTGGTCATAGTATTTAGGAGGCAACTTGCAACTTGCTACTTGCAAGGGGTATCGGAAGCAGGGAAATCTGTCTCGCGGAAACCCTCAACCTGTGGGATCTGTTGCAGTCTCCAGGTAGATGGGGTTGGCACGGAAGTGAGTTAGAGTACGGTCAACTGAGCTACGCTGGAGACTTGTATGGCGAGTGAGAAACCCACACACTCATATACAAATCTTGTCTCAGAACTGTGCTGTGTTGAGTGTGAATGGGGAAGGGCAGTGTCATTGCTGAACTTTAGAGAAATCAAGAGAGTCAACCCTCCAAGGATTTGCAAAGCTCAACCCTCCCCGTGGACATTCGTTCAAATATCCACCCACATATGTCTTCATTGAGTGCCTACACAGCAGGGGGTCCATAGCAGGGGCTGAAATACAATCTCAGTCTTAATGGGGTTTAGAAGAATCTATCAGCCAAACAAGAATAGGCTGAACATCTACTGTCCACCCACTGCTCATTAACACCCATGAGACTGGCTGGATGCTGTAGAGGAAACTAGTACCATTACTACTTGGAAACCCGTGGCCTCAGCTTGACATTGTACATTGCCTGGCATGGGGAGAAAGTGCAGAAAAGTAAGATAGATGGCTAACAGAATTCACCAAAATCCTCTGTCCCTCATAGATACCACAAATACACAGATTATGAAGGTTTGGCAGTAAGCATAACCAAACTAAAAATAATAATAATAATAACTTACAGTGGCCTTAAAAATGTTAGCAGGCAGACTGTGCCTGCTGCCTTTGTGGGGCATGACTGCTGACCCCCAGCAGCTTCGAGAGAGACGAGGCTGTCCATTTTTAGACACCAGAGACAGATTTATTTCTGCCTGAGCCTCTTCAGAGCACTGTACATTTTTATAAAATTTTAAAACAACACAGCAGGCAAAAGAATAAAGGTTTTCCTTTTCTTTTATCTCAATATAACTGTGTATGAAGGGCAGGGAGCCAAAAAGTTCACGACCAAAGCCTCGGGTGCTATTTGCAGCAGCTTAATGAGCCAAACTTTTATGGACATTTACTCGTCCATTCACCTCGGTATCTGACAACCCCAAGAAACTGAGGGGAGCACATAGTAGGTGCTCAGCGAGGTTTTGTTGAAGAGATGGATTAGTAAATGATTAACTCTAATGAATGAGCTGACTAGCTCAACCCAGGATCCATCCAGTTTCCCGAGAGCCTAGCGTGACTGCAGGATTTGTCTTCAGTAACCACCTCATGTACTCTCCACCAGTGACTAGAAGCGGAGAAGCTCATCAATTCTGAGCACCCTGAGGAAGAAAGTGGAGAAAATGGGGTGGAAACATTCAAAAGGATGACTCAAGCCAGCGTG